AAGTATTATACAAGATTGAGCCCTTTAATTTCCATCATGGAGCAGAGAGTGGCCATACCCCTTCCCAAGGATTTAAAGATAGTGGTTGTTGGAGGAGAGAGTTATCTTTCTTAAGTAGTGTAGCTACCTGTAAGCCTCCCATGCTCTGGTAAGTAACCCTAATTCATTTGCCTGTAAATAACTCCAGTTAAACTTGTTGCTTCACCAAGCTAGCCTTGAGTTGAATGGTTACCTTGGTCTGTCTATGGTATGCTATTTGGGATAAATATATGTTTGTTTTGGTTTTCCTCCCAGGAAAAGTTCATAGGACAAATTCTTACTTAAGTATAGCAATTTTTAAAAAAACATTATTAAATTAATTAAAATACTAGGGCACTACACCTAAAATTTTGCACTTGACTAACTTTGTATTTATGAAAGAACTAGGGGTCCATTGTGTTCCTTTATTTATGACATGATGAATTCTTCCTTTACACACACTATTAGATGCATATATATATGTATGTATGTATTATACAAATGCGTATGCCATTACAAATACATAGCTATTGTAATGTAGTAACTTATGTAAAAGAATACATGGCCTCCAAAGTCTGTCATGTCTTACGTTATATAGTGAGAATGTGACCTATATGATAATGGTAGCTAGCATGAATGGTAGCTAGAAATGAAAATATATTAAATGTTGTATTGTAGGCTTTGGAAAACTTTAAAAGCTTGGCTTGAAATGATTGCTGAGTAACGGTCATCATAACCCATCAATGTGAGATTCTTTTTGTTGGAGAAATAGTGTCATATGCATGTTTGAGATAAGCACTTAAAAAATCACTGTTCTAGCTAGCCAGGTGTTGCAAAGGAGTGTTTTTCAGAATATGACAGCATGGTGAGTACAGTTCACCTTTATAACCCATGATATAATAAATGTCCAGGATGATTAATGATTTTTTCAATGCATTTGCATATCTATAAATTAGCTAATAATAAAGTTACCATGCAATATGTTCTTCTAACACCTCTGTGAAATGGTGATAGAATTCTCTCTAATCGATTAATGAAATAGTTTGATGACAGTGGGCAAGAAACATTTTGATGTAAGAGGCCAATTATTCATCTATAATTTTAATATTAGCTATAAATTGATTGATATGATTTCTTGCCAGTACTTACCTATTTTTTTCTAAATACAACAGTTCATTGATGAGCTATATATGTTATTTATTAGATGGTTGTAAGTACTGAAATGTAGCTAAAAGTTGGGGGGGTAATTGTTTTCTCCTAATTGCATGCAACTTGTAACCCCAAAAGGCAAAATGACATCAGAATTCCTATTGCAGAATCCTACAATAGTCTGTGTCATACTGGATTCACTAAGTTTTAAGGTGATGTACCCCTTAAAACAAAAAAAAAAAGCAAACTTCTATCTTAGGATATAAACAAATGCACAAGGATAACAGAAGTCAAGCAATACATCTTTCTTAACCTGAGCATGAAATTTATACTGGCAAATGGTAGATTCTTCTGATAAGTTATTTATTATACATGTTATATTGAGACATTTAGAGACATCTTTAAAAAATCAATTATAATTTCTTAGTTTACTTAATTTCATGCCTATCAGTCATGAAAGACTGCAGAGGAATTTTAACCAGAGCATAGCCTCTCTGCACATGCAGAATTCAGAAGGAGTCATTTCGCCCCCTTCTTAGAATATGTATTCAGTTCTCCTTAAGCACTGTTCATGTCTTCCTTGCTCAAAACACCTACTTTAAGTACATGAGTAGGGAAGGGACCTGACTACCATTATGCATTTTAATAGCTAATACAGGTATTCAACTTATTAATTTATTTAGCCTCCATCATTCATTAGTTGTGTGACCTAGGGTCAATCTAATTTACTCCCTTTCTCCCAGTTTCTGTCAAGTGGACATGTAATATTTCCCTTTGAATTGTCTATGACAAGGATTCTAACCTTCTTCATGCTGTGACCCTTTAATACAGTTTTTCATGTTTTGATGATTCCAACCATAAAATTACTTTGTTGCTATTTCATAACTGTAATTTTGCTACTGTTATGAATCATAATGTAAATATTTTTGGAGACACAGGTTTGGTGAAGGGGTCATGACCCATAGGCTGAGAACCATTGGTCTATGAGGCTAAGATGATTCACTATTACCTGAGCAGATGTGGAGAGAACATGTACTATAGTGATACAGACAAGGAGGCTGATGCTTCCAGTGCAAACATTGATGTGAGCATCTTTGAGGGCCAGCATTGCCCAGAAGAGTCAGCAAAAAAAAAAAAAAAAAAAAAAAAAAAAAAAAATGAACCTTGCTGGATGTTTTGGTATACACCTCTCATCCTGTCAAAGAAGGTAGATCTCTTGAAGTTCAAGGCTAGCCTGGTAAACAGCAAATTCCAAGCCATCCAGGCCTCATAGTGAGACCTTGTTTAAAAAAATAAAGAAGGAAGGAAGGTGAGAAGGAGGGAGGGAGGGGAGGAGGGAGGGAGGGAGGGAAGGAGGGAAGGAGGGAGGGGAGGAAAGTGTCTGTTTCAACTGCTGGGTTGGAAGCTCTGTCTTGAGTCCCATTCCTCCCCCTCCACACTTTACCCTCTGAGAGAAACCCCTGAAAACTGGGGGGTCTTGGCAGTGGCTCAAGACCCTGACCAAAAGATAACCACAGCATGAATCCACCTTGGGGCATGCCATCATCCTTCACCCCTATAGTGTTCCATTCTTTTTTTAATTTTTTTCTTATTTTACATATCAATCCAAGTTCCCCCTCCCTCTCTCCCTCCCTCCCTCTCTGCCTGCCTCCCTCCCATGGCCCCCCTATAGGGTTCTTAAGCCACCCCTTTAGAACAGCCATGTGATTTCTCTCCTGTTCCCTTTCCTGAGAGTCATCTGGGAGTGCTTTGCTCAGATTAAAATTGGTCCTTTTTAAAATTGGCTTAATTTGGCTTACTTCATCAGTGGAGAAACCTTCTACCAGGAATATTAAAACAAAACAAAGCAACAACAAAAATCTATTGAGAACAACCCCTTGTTTCCTTGGCATAGTCCCCCAAATTTTACTCCTTTCTCCACACACCCATCTTTGTTTTTTTTCCCTATGAATTCATGTAGACAACATGTCTAGGAAATCAGAATTCAATATATATATATATATATATATATATATATATATATATATATTGTGTGTGTGTGTGTGTGTGTGTGTGTGTGTGTGTGTGTGTGTGTGTTGATAGCACACAACCTTAATGTCAGCATTTGGGTATCATGCATACATGCATATCATGTATATATCCATATATATGGATATATACATATATATGGAGACAGAGTTTAAGAAATTTGATCCAGATGTGCTGATATATGCATGTAATCCCAACATTCAAAAGGCTGACTAAAGAATAGCAAGTCTGAAAGTTTGAGGTCAGTCTGGGTTACATAGGGAAACTTTCTGAAAACCTCAAAAAAACAGGAATAACAAATCTGACACTGAAAACTACAATAGCAAAACAACAAAAATTGGCTCAGAGTTCATTGGGGGCTGGCAAGTATTACATCCATTGAGATGGGTAGGCAGACTGGAGAGCCAAGTAAGAGATGACCATTTAAAACTCAAATTGCACAGGGTAGAAATTCAGGTAGCAACGAGTGTTGCAATCTGTGAATGCAGTTTATAAGTTGGGGTGGGCACTACAACAGGTTTTCTGTACTGTTGATTGGAAGCCAATTTCTCTATTCTTCAGAAAACACTGTCTTTGAAGGCCTTCAACTGATAGGGTAAGCCTCATCTGTATTATGAGGAGCAAACAGCGTTGCTCTCAATCTATTGATCTAAATGTCAGTTGCGTCTAAAGATCTTCACAGTGGCCTTCAAGCTGGTGCTTGGCCAAACAATGGGGTGTCATAGCCTCATCAAGTGGATCCACCAAATGAAGCAACACAGGCAGTAGCACTTAAGTCAGGGTGCCAACTCTACCATTCCAGTTTTGATTCAGCAGCTGTATGTTGAATACAGTGGTTTGTGCCTCCTCTTTCTGACAGCTTTTTTAGCCTAGGTCTCTTGAGTCCTCTCAAGACAATAAATGATGGGTCTTCTTAAGCCTTCTATGGGCTTAGAGATGACTCATAGCATTCATGACATGGACAGGTACTTTATCAGTCATTTTATACATGAAGATACAACTGATCCTAGGATATTTACAGCCATCTACAAGGTATCACCGCATCAGTAAGTGCAGTAGACAGCCAGCAGTCCTCTGAATGCTTGACCCAGCACCCCCCCCCATTCCACACCCTTTCCCTATGTCAAAGCAGCTTCCTTCCATTGGTTGCTGCTATAAAGCTAGCAGTGAAGGTCTTATACTGGCCGGATTTTTCTAAGATTTGAATATTTGAGACTATTTTGTTTACTGCATGTATTAAGCTAGTTGGGCAGAATGTTTTATTGAGGCCCTGCTTTCAGATGGCCCAGAGCTAAAGTGTGAGTATCATTTGGATAAGTGCTGCCATTTCTATGCCAGCAAGGATGAACAAGTAAAGTGTCTCTGTGTGTGCAGAGCTTAGGGACTGTCTCAGTGACCTGGACTCAGGGAAGGGAGCCAAGGTCGCCTTGTCTCTCTCCTACCTGTAGTCACATCCCAAGCTATATCATCACCATAACCAGCACAAAATAGATGTTCAACACAGCTTGTAACCTTAACACGTGGCAGGAACAATATGAACGTTTCAGACTATGTTTGCTAAGTGGGAAGAAGGTAAATGATGCTTTGACACTTCCAGTATCACAGGAGGAACGAAGGAGGTAGTAGTTTAATGTTTAAACTGTGAGACTTCTGGTTTCCCGGTGTATTATGTGCAAAATATACTGAATTATGGGAAATAAAAGCCTCTTACTTAATAAGAAAGAAATGAATTCATAATTTTCTGTAGCTAGTCAATGTTAAAACAGTGAGGGTGAGTGACATTCCATTGATCTTGTGATCAACAGATGGATGGGTGGAGACACTGGATCATGAAATGCTCAGTGACCCCAGTAATAGCCAAGGTATCCACAAAGAAGCTGAGGAGACCATGCCCGCGTACACTGAAGAGTCTGATAGGCAAGCTTGGAGAAGTATCATTCTGTGTGCAGACCCTCCATCAGGACAGGTGAGCAAAGAAAACATTTCCAAACCTTTTGATGATCTGCTGTTAAAATGACAAGTTGAAATGTCAGCCTGACATAGTGTCTTCTGACTTGCTACCCAGCACGGCTTGGAATGTTGGTTTTGATTTGTGACTTTCCGAGACTGCCTGTACCTTTTCACACATATTTTCCTAGGCAGGAGTTAAAACCCTCACAGATGCTGCCCTCGTCTTTGAAAAATTTAACTGCACTTCATCTGGTTTGATTTTATGTTGTAGTTGTCATGTCTAGCAAACTCGGAAGTACCTATAATAGAAGCTCAGCTTGGATGAACTTATTTGGATGTAAATGAAGAGACACTGGTTTTGTTTGGTCAGCATATCATTAGGACTTGAATGCCCTAGCATCTGTGAAGTCACCATGTAGGGATTTAAGTTGACCATTCTAATTGCTGTGACTTCAGAGATACCTGCTCTGGTTTTCATACCTATCCTTTCTATGTATGAGTAAAGTTACACCATGATGGGCTTTGGTCAACAAAGAAGAGAATTGTTGCTTCTATTTAGTTTCCTTATCAGTCTCAATAAAAGATGCAAGAGTCCTACAGGTGTCGCTTTGTGTGTGTGTGTGCATATATATATATATATATATATATATATATATATATGTCTCAAAAATGTCATCATATGAGAGATTTTTCTCAATGATATTTGTGCAATAGTAGTTCATGATCTGAAATATAATTTACTTCAAAAGTCAAAGGTATAGATAGCTTAGATGCAGTATGCAGGTGACATTCTCCAACCAAGAGTGTGGCGATTCCATAGTGCTGTCTAATTTATTCCTCTGTGCCACTTAGAGCTGAACATGCTGGGTCCATTAAGGGTATGTCTATTTTGAATTTTCTCATGTCAGTGACCTGAATTAACAAGTACATCCAGAGCTTCCTAAGAGTCCAGTAGTGGGCTGAATTATGTCTCCTAAAAGTATATCCAAATCCTGCCCTCCAGTGCCTGCACATGTGATCAAATTCAGAGCAGATATCCAGGGTTGGGCTGTGTCCTAAACCCATTGACTGTTGTCCTTTAAAGGGAAAGAGAAAAGATTTGAGACATAGACACACATACAGGGGAAAGCTCTATGAAGGAATAAAAATGGGGGTGTGTGTTTATCAAGAAAGGGAAGGCTTAGAATGGCATTCATTACCAAAAGTTAAAAACTCAGGATAAATCTTCTGGAGTCTCAATCAAGGGATCTTACAATCCCTTGATTTAAGACCTTTGGTTGACAAAACTGTGAGTTAATAAATTTCTGTCATTCAAAATCACAGAGCTTGTGATAATCTGTGAGTGCATAGGTATGCCTATGTTGTTATGTGTGTGTGGTATGTGCATCTATGATCTTGGAGGCTTGAGGCCTATCCTCCATATCTTTCTTCAATAACACTCCATATGCATGTTTTGAGACAAGGTCTGTCACCAAACGTGAAGCTCATCAATTTGACTAGCCAGCAAGCTTCAAGGGATTTGCCTGTTACAGACATCCACGGCCTTAGATTCCAGAAATTTGAATGCGAGTCCCTGTTCTTGCATGATAGACACTTTACTGACTGAGCCAAGATAATCTTTAAATACAGAAACAAGGTAACCTATATTCTAAGCTGACAAACCCCATGAGGGAAGCTTTGACTCTTCAATGATGTAGTGATAGTGATGTGTGTTTTTATGAGCTAGGGTCTAAAGCAGAGGTTTAACCTGTGGGTCATGACCCTTTTATAGACATTACCTAAGACTGTCTGCATCTTGGATATTAACATGATCCACAGCAGTATAAAAATTGCAGTCATGAAGTAGCAATGAAAATAATTTTATGGTTGGGGTGACTATAGCATGAGGAAATCAATGAAGGAGTTGCAGCATTGGGAAAGTTGAGAACCACTGATAAAGGAACATTGAGAAGGGACATAAGACAATGCTATTGTGTTATGCCAAAAGCTCAACATTTCCTACTTTTGTAGCATGCAGTACCAATGCAGGTAAGGTACTCCAGGCTCTCAAGATAGCAATCCTGAGATCATTTCAAACATGATTCATACCCATACACTGTGAGAGGCAAACTGAGGACCAGAGTCCCTACTCACCAGCTTCTTGCAAGGCTTTTATACAAAGTGCCAGTAAATGGAGAGGCTAACATGAATAGAACCCAAGCCTGCATGGTTTATGTCTGCCCACATTAGAAAGGCATACACACATTCAAGAACTGGAATGTGTCATAGATGTGGCTATTTCCTGAACTCTCTACCAATGAAATTTATGATCCTCAAACTCAGTGAAAGAGTTAGGTGTGTTGGCACACACTGAATTTCCAGCACTTGGGAGATGCAGGAAGGACAATGATAGGTCATATAGTGAGTCCGAGGACACCCAGGACCACATGAGTCTCCTGTCTCACAACAACAAAACTAATAAGAAAGTTGGTCTCAGGTAGTTGATTAAATAACCAGGAAGGAAATAATGTTGTTATAAAATCACGACCAGGGTCATGTTGATGAAGATGCCAACTTGGCACCAGAACTCTTGGAGAAGCAGATCCAGGCCACTTACAGGGTATTGGTTTGTGGGTGAGTGATTTAATTTTGCTGGCCTCAGTAACTTTATCTGGAACTTGAGGATTTGATAGTTTGGTGTACGAGGACTGATACCTCTAAAGAATTTCACAGAGAAGGTTCTGATTAAATGGCAGGTGACACTACAGAGAGAAGATTTTAGGGCCATGTCTGAGGCCAATGCATATACTGTATCAGGAGTCCCATGAATGTAGAAGGAGGCATATGTAAAGGAAGAAGTTTTCAACTGGATTGCTTCTTTGGTTGTAATGTTGGTATGGCCTTGGCCCTGTGGGATGACATAGGGCTAAATAGTCAACACATCTTGAGGTTGTAGTGAAAAGGAGTGTTATATGTCCAAGTGTTCAGAATTAACACCTTCCTTTTCTTGTGAGTCACTTGGCACATTTAATGAAGGCAGGAAGTAGCCTTACCTTTATAATTTAATGGTAAACTTATAATAAACAAAAATTTATGGCAATGTGGTGTGAAGGAGTCCCAGCTGAAGTGAGGATTGTTGGATGGGTTCCTTCTTTTGCCTCTTTGTAACTGCTGATTAATATGATGACTCGTGCAATTCACTCTCATCTTATACCATAGAAAGCTGTGGTAGGAGATGTAGGGCGACTATAAAAAGGGATGGGATTCTTTGTTAAGAGGTTGCCAGGGGTATGGGGCTATTGTCTGATACAGAGATTCCTGTTGAAAGCTCATCAGAATTAGAGATCTGACTGTTGTTCTTGAGCATCAAGGAGAGAGAAAAGCAAGGTGAAAAATCCATCACATATCTATAAAGGGTATTTTCTTTTTTTAGTCAGGCCCTGTTCTGCAGGACCCCTTTATATATTTCCAGTCATAGCAGAATGTGGAATGGGAAGAATTTTCTTTCATACTTTGAGGAAGCATTGTTTGGCATGATGTGTTTATGTGTGTTGCGTGTATGTGTGTGTGTGTGTGTGTGTGTGTGTGTGAGAGAGAGAGAGAGAGAGAGAGAGAGAGAGAGAGAGAGAGAGACAGAGAACGAGCCTGGAAAGATTTTTGAGGCACCTTGTGCCTAAGAACTACCAGGTGAAAAAAAGCTAAGTGCAGAGTTTTTACAAATTTAGTTGCAGGGGAATCCAGGGAAGCAGTACCATGTGGCTTTTTTTCAAATAAATTTTGAATGAAGAGGAAAATAATTTCATTTTACATTCTGGCTTCCAGGAGGAAGTATTTTCTGGGAAATTCTTAATATTTACTGTACGCTGGGTACCTGCTATTGACAGGCTGCAGAGAAAAGGGTTTCCTCTGAACTGTAGCTGTAAACAACCCAGACATTTGGCTAATTAAGTTAGGAATCCATACTTTAAGGGTGGATGCATGTGTGCAGGGAGTTATGGTGTTTTTAGAGGTTTGTCTTGATTTTGAAAGTAAGATAAAGCTTTTAAGTAATGGTGGGAACAATGTCAAACTGGAACTAAATATATCCTAGAGAAACAGTCTTTAAAGGAAAACACCGTCTACTGACAACTAGCTTTAGTTTTAAAATTCTTTATTTCAATTTTAAATGACCTCACAAAATGCCAGATATCATTTTTAAAAAAATAGAAAAAATATTTTTCACACATATTCTGATTATGGTTTGCTCTCCCTCAATTCCTCCGAAATCCTCCCCATGTTCCCACCCTTCCAAATCCAAACTTTTATTGATCCTTTTCAGCAGAGAACAGGTATCTGAAAGAAGAAAAATATTATTAAAATAAAAATAAGATGAAATAAAACAAAATAAACCTGAATTGGAAAAACAAAAAAATGAGCAGAAAAAAGTTAAAGAAAAAACATGAGAAACACATATCGATACACAGATATACATGTACATATTTCCACAGAGATCCCAGATACAAAACCAGAAATATACTATATAAGCAAAAGACTTGTAAGTCAAAAAATCAATAGCTTAGACCAATATAAGTTTAAAGAAAATCCAAAAATACCACTGAATTTATTTTGTGGTGATCATCTACTGCTGAGCATGGCCTCCCTTGTCTGTGATTTGCAAACCCAGTGAGACTCCGTTGGATAGAACTAGTTTTTTCTTTGTGAGCCATTATCAATCAGAGATTGTTTCTGGGGTAAGGATTGGGGCTTGTGTTCACTTCCCCTGTTAGCACTGTGATCCTACCTGGCTTAAACCTGTGCAGGCCTTATGCATGCTGCCACACTACCTGTTTGTTTCTATTTATATCAGTCCTTCTGTGCTTAGAAGGCCTTGTTTTCTGAGTGTCCTTATCCCCTATGTATCTTACAGTCTTTCCATCTCCTCTTCCTCAGAGTTCCCCGAGTCACAAGGTGAGGGATTTGATGTAGACAGCCCATTTAGGACTGAGTGTTCCAAGGTCTCTCACTCTCTGTACTTTGTCCACTTGTGATCTCTATATT